GATGTTCTATTTTGTAGAAGGGAAATGATCTGTCACAATGGAATAAACATTGCTTCATTCTGACCACATCTGGAATGAAACAGGATTGGTGCCTTGAGTTTTCACACTTTTCTCTTGGAAACTGTCCTGTGGTACAGGGTTACCTCACCTGTGATCCAGAATTCCATGTGAGTGCCACTTCAAATCTGAGCTGCCCTGCTTCTCCAGACCCTGGGAAACCAACTTAAGTTCTTGGGACCTTATCACCCAAATGGGACCCTCAGATGGATCTTCTTTGGCCTGGCCAAGTATCAGCTATTGTAGCCATCTGGGGAGTGAACCAGAAAATGGAAGATCTTTTTCTCTCTCTGTGCCCCCACCTTCCCCTCCCGAATCTCCACCCTATAACTCTGTCTTTTAAGTAACTACATAAATCTTATAAAAACTTACTTTACAAAATAATGATTGAAAATATATTTTCAGAATAAAATGGGGGTAAAAATGGGGGGTAAATGGGGGTAAAATAGGCAAAAACATGGCTTATCACACTGGTTTCCTAGCTTCTCCACTCTGACCTAGCTCCCTGCTAAAGACCTTGGAAAAGCAAAAGAAGACTCGAGCTTCTAGGCTCCTGCCAGCCACATGGGAGACACAGGTGAAGCTCCTGGTTCCTGGCTTCAGCGGGCTCCAGCAGTGGCTGTTGAGGCCAGATGGGAAGTGAACCAGCAGTGGAAGATCATTCTCTCCCTGTCTTTCCCTCTCTCTGTAACTGATTTTCAAATAAATATATAAATCTTTAAAAAGGAAATAAAACTGGCAATATTGAACCAATCAAAGGCAGAGGTAAAATATATAACGAGTAGTTTCACTTGAATGATTGTTAATATTTTTTGTGGAAAAAGCATGAAAGCAGACAAGATTTCTATGAAAAGAAATAAGTTCTAAACTCTATAACATGGAAAGGGAAAATATTGCAAATTTAAAAATTCAAATAGTAAAGGATTGGTACAGAAATCCTTTACACATATAGGATATATGAAATAAAGTCCTTCCATCTTTATATCATTCATTCAATAATACTTATTGAGAGATTACAATGTATAAGGCATTAATCCTGAAAATATACCCATGAAGAGAATATGTAATGATCCAAACCCTGCTTTCCTAGTGATTTATATTACTGGATAAGAAATAAATTCTGGAGCAAAAAAATCAGCCAGTGTAAGGAAGTCTTCTAATTTTCAGCATCCATTGCACCTTCCAGCTGAAGAGTCAGGGTGCCTCAGGCCGGGTTCCCTGGGAGACAGGCAGAACACAATGATGGACTCCAAGCACCTGGAATGCTCAAGCAGGTCTGATTGGACAGAGCTCAGATAAACACCACAAGGATATCTGTGCATCCAAACATGTTTCCTGTGGGAGGGCCGCTCGTCTGACTCGCAATTAGGTATCAGGCCATCTACCAAGTAAAAGAAGCAGCTCTCAAAAGGAGCCCTGTAAACACCTGCTCCCTTCACTTTCTGTTCAGGCAGAGTCAAAGCCACGCTGGTATTAGAATCCCAGTTTGTCCGGTGGACTCGCAAAATAGTAAGATCCGAAAAACTCTCCAGGAAACACTGGCTCTAATTTCAATATATGCATATAATATTTTTCTGTTGCAAAGTTTTCACTCTCATCAGACTCCTGAACCAAATCTGTAGTGAAAAGGAACACAACACGAAGTCCATTTTCAACTTCAGAATTACTTATAATCAGAATAAACTTAAAGCAGAATGGATGCAAAACTGTATTCAAAATATTCAAAAGTATATATGATTTTATATAAAAATTCTAAAGAGAGGAGTGACCCAACGTGAATGATTTAATCATTTAACCCAGACAACAACAGGCATTACTGAAATTCATCCTTATAAATTAACCTAAGTAAGTTCATAACAAGTGGGATAACCAAAGCAAAAAAAAGATCAAAAGCCCTGAAAGGACATGGAGGACCAGAAGCTGCATCCACTGGCGGCAGGAAGGCAGCCCAGTGCAGTCAATCTGCAAGACAGTCTGGCAGGTCCTCAGCAAGTTAAACAGAGCCACCACTTGCACAGGTAACGTACTCCTAGGGTATATGCCCACGAGAAATGAAGACATATGTTCACATTAGATGCTGTACATGAATATTCATAGCAACATTTATTCATAACAGCTAAAAGAAGTAACCCAAATGTCCACAACCAATATTCGGGAAAAAATATGGTGTATCCATCAGAATATTATTAAGCCACCAAGGGACTGGAGTGCTCATCACTGTATCAACAAGGGTAAACCTAAAGCACAGGATGCTGTCAGGAGAGGCCGGTCACTAAGGACCATGTGTGGCATGTTTCACTTACATGAACTGTCCACGGTAGAGATATGCACACACAGAAACTAGGTCAGTGGTTGTTTAAAAGCTCCAGGTGGGATGCTGGCCTGGAAAGTTTCAGTCACAGAGCTCAGGGTTACTTTTTTGAGGTAAACAAAAAGTTTCAAAATTGACTGGTGATGCTCACGACTCCATGCATGTCCTAAAACCAACAAACTGTACACCTTAGTGGGTGGAACTATATGGCAGATGAATTATATCTAAATAAGGTTGTTACCCCCTAAAAATGTAGATCAAACAGATCCTGTTGATACAAAATGACAGGTAACACTTTTGATACCATGTAATAAATATTATTATTTTAAAAGATTTATTTATTTTGATCGGAAAGGCAGATTTATGCGAATGCAGGGTCTCAAGGTTTTGAGCCATTCTCCACTACTCTCTCAGGCTACAAGCATGCAGCTGGATTAGAAGTGGAGTAGCTGGGACACGAACTGATACCCATAAGGGATACTATACTCAGGGATGGAGGATTAGCCAGGTAAGTCACTGCAATGGCCCCAATAAAAATTATTGGTGGATCTCTTTCTCTTTCAAATAAATACTGCCTTTAAAGTAGGAAACAATTGGCCTTTTTAAAAAATTTAATTGACTTAAAAGGCAGAGCAATAGAGAGGCAGAAAGACAGACTGAGACAGATCTTCTTTCTGCTGGTTTATTCTCCCAAATGCCTGCAACAGCCAAGGCTGGGCCAGGTCAAAGCCAGAACTCCATTCAGGTCTCCCTCTTGGATGGCAGAAGCCCAAGACTTCGAGTCATCATCTGTTGCTTCCCAGGACACATTATCAGAGAGCTGGATCAGAAGCAGAGGAGTTGGGACCCAACTCCCAGGGATGGGACACTGGCACTACAATGCCAGCCCCTTTTGACATTCAAGTATCGTTTCTTAAGGAGAGAGTGCATAGAATGCACAGGAACTTCTGCCAGCAGACAATCACACTAAACTCTGCCTAACCAAACAACAACAACAACTAAACAACAACAAAACCCACAACAGTTGGTAGGGATTGACTAAAAATGCTGACTCAGTGGTAGCCCTTGAAAGCAGGCTCCACATGACGATCTAAACTACTAAGTGAAGTAATGCAAAATTCATATGGCAAAGTCCCAGGCAGGAAAGCACATCACTGAATGGCCCAATCAGAGATGCGCACATGAACTTAACCATCACACATAAGGTGAGGTGAGGGCAGGCTAGGAACAATAATGGCTGTCAGGAGAAAGCCTGGCATCTTGGAAAGTACCCCGATACAGACAGCTGCAATGTGCGCTCTCTGAAAAGCTAGTATCCTGAAAGGAGGCAGGGGAGAAAAATGCTCTGTCCTCTGAAGCTTTCCCTCCTCCTTTCAGGTGAAGAGCCCTGGGCCTCCTGAGGATGGAGGAAAGAGAACAGAGCAGCCTGTTATCACAGCAGCGGTGACTGGAACAACACATTGCAGGGCAAAGCTGGGGACAAGAGGACTGAATATGTGAGATGTCAGGGCAGGTGCCTGGCCTGGTGGCGTGATCCCAGCTGAGATGCACACGTCCCATATCAGAGCACCCTGACTGGAGGCCCTGCTCAGCCTCCCGACTCCTGTTAATGCAGACCATGGGAAGTAGCAAGCGATGGCTCGAGCAGCTGGGTCCCCGTCATCTGTGAGGAAGACCTGGGTTGTTTCTGGCGCCCAGTTTTGGCTCCAGCTAAATAAGCCCTGGCTTTTGTGGGCAGTTGTGGAGTGAAGCAGCAGCTAAGCACTCTCTGGCGCTCTCACTCGAATACATACATTACAGAAATGTGATGCTGCTTCTTGAGCAATAAAGATTCTCAGAACTGGGCCAGCACAGCATGACACCAACCACGAAGCTCTTTTCAGCATGGGGATCTAAACAACTGCCCAGGCTGTAGATCCTTTCAGTCAAGCTGGGAATCCAGAAACACCCAGACACAGAACAGCATAAACCAGAAAATCAATCGCACCACTCTGAGACCACCACAGTCAGCATTCCGGGTGTATGGCCCAGAGATTTTTTTTTTTAACATACCAAAACACATGTGGCTGCAGTCACATTATTTATATTTTGGAAATCACTATGGCACATTCTATTCTGTAGCCTCTAAAAAAAATTACTCTTTGAAAAGCTTTCCAAAATATTAGGGACGATAGATCATTTCAATACCATTATAAGGATTACAGAACATGGCAGCCCATGTTCCACTTAACCATACCCCCGTTGCTAGATGTCTGAAGGGTCGTGAGTTTCTCAATATTTTAAGTGATGTGTAGTGAATATCAAGAGTCGAGTGAAGACTGAGTAAGTCAATCAATACAAAGCAGCTCACAGAGTACTTGGCATATAATAAGCTCTTGATAAATGCTAGTGATTTTTAAAGTATTGTGCTCTGTGTAAAAGTTGGAACTAATTTACATTTCCAACAGCAGAGTAAAAGAGGACTGATTTTCCTAAATCTCTGCCAATTCTTTTGATTCCTTCCTTTGTTCCTTCTCCTAGGAGGGGTCTGTTCACAGCCTTTGACCATTTACCTATTTGATGTTTTGATTTCTCATTGATTTCTGTATTGGAGAGAACGATCCTTTGCCAGAGCAATAAGCTTGAGACTCACCTCCAGTTCCCAGGACCTTCAGGAGCTCAAAATTTTCAATGCCCACCTTCTCTGCATGTCCTGTTAAATTGGCTGAGAGAGAGAGAAAGAGAGAAAGAGGACAACACGTAAGGGGATTAGCAACAGAAGAGGAACCCCGGGTTTCTGAGGGTCCAGCAGTGCTCTGCCTCCTTACTTGCAGGGTGAACCAATGGGTGGAAAGTCAATCTCTGTCTCTTCTTTTTTCTAGCTAACTCTGATTTTCAAACAAACAATTATACATTTTTTTTTTAAAGAAAAGCAGTTTCCCTGTTAATTTTATAATGGAAAAAAATTAATAAACATAACATTACCTGGAATTAACATGGACATCAACAATTAAAGAAAACATAGGTACTGTCTTATTAAAATACACAACAGCGTATCTTCCTCTGGTTGTCAAGCAGATTATACTGAAAGCCAAGTTTGCAAGAAATCATAACTTTTCAAGAAATTATTTGGAGCAAGTGTTATGGCATAATGGGTAAAGCTACCACTTACAACACCAGCATCCAATATAGGTGCCAATTCAGGTCCCAGCAGCTCCACTTTCTATCTTGCTAATAGTCTGAGAAAAGCAACAGAAAAGAGGTGAAGTGCCTGACCACTGCCACCATGGGAGCCTGGGATGAACCCCTCGTTCCTGGCTTCAATCTGGCGCAGCCATGGCCCTTGAGGCCATCTAGGAAGTGGACTACCAGATGGAAGATCTCTTTCTCCCTCTCTCTCAAACTCTAATTTTCTACTAAATAAATACTTTAAAAAAATATTTATTTTGTTTTTATCGGAATGCCAGATATACAGAGAGAAGGAAAAGAAGAGAGGAAGATCTTCCATCTGATAACTTACTCCCCAAGCAGCCACGGCCGGAGCTGCACTGATCTGAAGCCAGGAGCCTCTTCTGGGTCTCCCACACAGGTGCAGGGTCCCAAGACTTTGGCTCATCCTCCACCGCTTTCCCAGGCCACAAGCAGGGAGCTGGATTGAAGAAGGGACTAGAACCGGCGCCTATATGGGATCCTGGCACATGCAGGGTGAGGATTTTAGCCACTATGCTACCGTGCTGGGCCCAAAAATAAAGTTTTGAAAAACATCTACTTGTTAGAGAGGCAAAGAGAGAGAAACACGAAGGGAAAGAGTTTCTATTTGCTAGTTCATTCCTAAGTACCCACCTTGGCTTGGCCTAAGCAAACATACAGGTATTCAATTGGGATCTCACACACAGGTGGCAGGAACCCAATTGCTTGAACTATCAGCACAGTCTCCAAAGGCTGCATTAATAGGAGGTCAGTCTCAGGAGGCAGAGCTGATCCCAAATCCAAGCAGGCCGGTGTGAGACAGGAGCATCTTAGAAGACTGCCCCCACACTCACTATTTTTTTTTCTTCACACTCACTCTTGAAATAAGGATTGGGCTCTTCTACTGAGATGCTAAATCCTTTAACATGCAAAAAGATTAAGCTAATATTCATGAGTCATACTAAAATAATGTTCTTGGTTCTCACCACTAGGACTCATTTTTTTTTTTTATTTTTTAAGATTTATTTTTACTGGAAAGTCAAATTTACAGAGGGAAGAAGAGGCAAAGATCTTCCACCCCTGGTTCATCCCCCAAATGATCGCAATGGCTGGAGCTGAGTAGATCCAAAGCCAGGAGTCAGGAGCTTCTTCCAGGTCTCATATAGAGGTACAGGCATTTAAGGACTTGAGCTACCCTCTGTTGTTTTCCCAGGCCACAAGCAGGGAGCTGGATTGGGAAGTAGAGCAGTCAAGACACAAACTGGTGTCCATGTGGGATCCCAGTGGTTGAAGGGAACCAGCCAACTGAGCCATTGTACCAGGCCCAATATATTTCCTATATTCTTGACCATTTCTATTGCTCTAGCTTCATGTGTTTACTTGTCCTTCCGACTTTTCTATTCAGCTATTAAATCCAACCAGTGTATTTTTAAATCGAAAATACTGCATTTTTCCTTTCTAGACTTTTTCATTTTTCATTTATTGGATAAGAATTCCTATATTTTGTTTCTGAAGCATGTTTTATTTCACTGAAGACATCATAACAGCAGCTTCAAAATTCTTGTTGGCTATACTCAGTGTCTCTATTTGTCTCACAGTAAGACTCAGTCAACTGTCTTTCTTCCTGGGATATGTTCCATTTTCTTGATTTTTCTTATCTAGGGCAATTTCACACTGCATCCTGCTCATTATAAATGGTACTTTGTGAACAGCCTCAACTAATTTTTTTTTCAGAGAAAGTTAACGTGTTTTTGTTTTAAGGCCAAGGCTTGGCTGGACTTGAATTCAAAGCCCTGCTTCTCGGGAGGCAGCTCTAGTCCCAGGTGATACAATGGTCTTCATCCAAGCTACTCTGAGTCTGTTGTATTCAAATGTGGCTTGAGGTTGGTCCCAGAGGGAAGGCCACTAAGTCTGAGTCCCATCCCCCTATCTCCACCACCACCAGGGCTCCTCTCCTGCAGTGAGTTCTCTACATTTTCAATGGCTGCAGTTGCCGAGTTTCTGTTTGGTGGTTTCCCTGGTTGGAGAGGCTACAATGAGGACTACACTGAGCCTGAAGCTAACATCTCCCCTCCTCCAATATACACATAGATATACACACATGGTGCCAGATGAACACAAAGCTCAATTCCATGTAGGCAAGGGGCAGTGTTTTTTAAATTATAAAGATGTTCTCAGCTACAATGACAAAACCCAGAAAAACAAATGGTAAATATCATACTGTATAGACTCCAAAGCAATGAAAAATCTGAGTCTAGGTGTCTAAATAGTTCTCATTTCCATGCTACTGTCATTATGATTACAACCTTTGAGTATTAAAGTCTAAAAATAAACTACACTTCTCTTAATTAAATTGTTAACCTAAGCTTAAGCTTCTCAGCAACAAAGCCAATATTTATTACAATAAGATTTAAAATATTTGCACATTTTATTTCACCCAAAAGGTGAAATAAATATCAGCCAAGCCGAATTTGTGAGTCATTCACATGCATTAGTGAAGTCCAAAATATGCTGATCAGAAGAGAGAGGCCACCTGCATGCCTGCAACTAGATCGTAGCAGAAACAAGGCTGACTACCAATCAACACAACTGTCCGCTATCTGTGCTCATATCCCAATGAAGTAGCGCCTCATCAGGTTGCAGGAGTGAAGGAATTCTGTCAGGCCTGTCTGTCCAGCCCTGTTCCCAACTCTCTCCCAACATCACTAACATAATCATCCAACAGTCTGAAAATCTGCGAGGGCAGTTTGTAAGAGTCCAAGCACTACAGTACCAACCCTCATACAAGGTCTCTGGGCTTTTCTGCCTCAAATATTGACAACAGCCTGACTCCTTGGGGTAGACTGTCTATTTTCCTGTACTCATCTCCTTTCAGTGCATGTGACAGCCAAATGGATTGAGGAGCTGTCTTGGGACACAGTGGTATGGTCAGGATGTCTGTGTAACCTCAGAATCCAAATGCTGAAACCCCATTCTCCAAGGTGAGTGTTGAGAAGGAGCCTTAGTGAGGTAATTAGGTTATAAGGGTGAATCCTTCATGATGGAATTAGCCAATGCCCTCATAAAGCCAGATGGCCCAATCTGCTTGCCAACATGAGAATACAGTCACCTGTAAACTACAAGATACTGGAGCTACCAGCACCTTGACCTTCAATTTCCCAGTCTCCAGCAATGTGAACTAACTGCTAACTGAAGCCATCAAATTTATGGCATTCTTGTTGCAGCAGTCTTGAGCAGGCCACGTGATGTTCACTCATCAATATGTTCTCCCTTCTGGGCCCAGAAACCAGCAAGTTTGGATGCACATAAAGCCTACTGAATATACCTTCGATGGGATGTCACTCAGGCAGTAAAAGAAGGCTATGCTGATCTACTCTATAACAGGGATGAATCTTACATACATTATGTTAAGCAAATCAAGCTAGTCATCGAAAGACAAGTATAGTTCCATTTATGTGAGATCAAAATAATAAAAACAGAAAGAATTTTGTTGATTCTCTGTTTCCCTTGGTTCCACATACACAGAATCAAACAACTGCAACAGAGAAAATACTTGAGAAAAAAATACATTTGTACTGAACATGTACAAGCTTTTTCTCACCACTATTACCGAAAATGTAACTATTTACATAATGTTTGCACTGTATCAAGTATTGAGAGTAATCCGGAGATTACTTAAAGTACACAGGAGGATGACATAGGCTATATGCAATTCTCAAACCATTTTACGTAGGGACTTGATTGTCCAACAGCAATGGATGTGTGGACCTCACCCCTGCATATGCTAAGGTACTGATTCACCTGCTGATGGGCACCTGGCTGCTCCCAAATCCTGGCAACTCTGAATAATGCTGCTATGAAATGTGGGTGTATGTGCATCCCAAGGCTCTGTCTTCAATAATTACAAAAACTAAAATTCCTTGGGAATTGCAATGGCTGACTCGACTGTTAATCTGAAGTGTGCCATTCTGAGGAACTTCCACACTGTTTTTCACAGCTCTGTGACAGATTCCCACCAACAGGACAGCAAGTTCTCTGCATTCTCACCAACACTTATTTTCTGACTGCCCACCAGCATGATGTGTATGAAGCAATGATCAACATAATCTTGTCAGTCATATATTTAAACCACATTATTACAGAATTATCCAGATTCACTGTTTACAAAAGGAAGAATAGAAAAAGCACACGGTCTAAAGTGGGCCTTGAAAATGTCCAATAATCTTAGCACTCAGCTATAATTGTGGGTATTTGGGGGTTTTTGCTTTGTTTTATCTATATGCAGAGGCAGAGTGAGAGCAAGGGAAGAAGAGACAGAGAAGCAGATCTCCTATTTGCTGGTACATTCTGCAAAATGCTGCAACTGCAAGGGCTAGCCCAGTCCCAAGCCAGGAGTTTGGGCTTTCATGTGCACAGCAGAGGCTCAAGCACTCAGAACACTATCTGTGGGTTTCTCAGGCACATTAAGTAGGGAGCCGGGTCAGAAGCAGTGCAGCCAAGACTCCAACTATACCTCCTATATGAGATATCAGCACT